TATCAGAATGGTACAGTATATATTCTTTTAATCGTCCTATTTCTGGGTGCATTGGTGATTTGTCCTTTTTTACTTTGCAACAGTAAAGTGCTGTCTAATATTTATACTACAGTTTGCTTATTAGTCTTCCTATTCTTGAGCACCGATATTATCTCTATTTTTTAGACTGTTGTATATAATGTTGTTTTGAACATATCTATAGAAGATATAAGGCTTTGCATTTTGATATGATTTTGTTTCATTTATTTGTTTATTTGGGATACAATCTCATGTTGTTTGGGCTGGCCTTGAACTTTCTGTGTAGCTAAGGATGACTTTGAACTCCAGATCCTTCTGCCTTTGCTTCTCAGCACTGGGATGTCATAGGATGCAGCAAGCATCCTGTATTTTGTATGTAGGTCTGGGAACCTCTGAAACTTACTAAGGAAGTTTCTATTTCCAGACCTTTAGGGGCTTAATCAATTCTATGGAAAATTATTTTTGTTGCTATTGAAGAGCTTAGGCACAGGTGGAGAAAATTTTACAAAGGAAGTGATGACCTTGGATATATTCTGAAAGTGTAAATACATGATTTTCTTCAACTAAATTATATGTAAAATATCAGTTTGAAATTCTAGAAAAAAAATCAAAACACTGCTGAGCTCTTGCCACTTGTCCCATAAAGTCTGACTGTGGCTTAAAATAGCCTGGAGTGGTCAGTGCTCTAAACTATTCCGAAGGAGATTCCAGAGCTGTTCTTCCTGCTCTGCAAAAGAAAAGTTATCATAGATCTCACATAAGCTACAACATTTCAAACTCTATCAGGATTAGACTATTACTAATACCCAGGGATAAAATGAATTGTGGATTTTTAAAATATTTTTCTAAATAGCTGGATATAGTGAAATAAAACTTGCTGGTACAGATAAGGAATTCTGAATGTCACTCTGAATAGTTAAAAGATTGATGTCTAGGAAACTCTGAAGGGGGGAAACTGCAAAGACAGTGAGTATTCTTTCAAAATAATTGGAAAGAAGCAATAACATATGGTTTTCTGTTGTAAAACAGGCAGTTCTGTTTCAGGCAACTTTATGTTACAGTAATAGAAAACTGATCACTATAGCTAGCAAGGTATCAAATAATGATACTTTGATGGTACATGTGGTGGTAAACATGAGAATTGTCCCCCAAGGGCTCATGTATTTCAACACTTGGTCTTCTGTTTGGGAAGTTATGGAAACTTTAAGAGGTGGAGCTTTGCTGAAGGAAGTGACTGGGGGAAGGCTTTGAGTTATCATCATCATCATCATCACCGTCATCATTATCATTATTATTACTTTTAGCAGGGTCTCACTACATAGCTCTGACTGTCTCGGAACTCACTATGTAGACCAGGCTGGCCTTAATCTCACAGAGATCTACCTGCCTCAGCCTCCCAAGCACTGGGGTTAAAGGCATGTGTCACAACTCCTGGCCTTAGGGCCTTGAAGTATTATGTCCTGGCTCTACTCCCTGTTTTCTGCTTCCTGTTTGGGGATGAAATGTCAGCAACCAGCTTCTGGCCCTGCCACTGTGCCTTTCCTGCTGACTGCCATGTCTTCCTTTGCCTGATAGACTTGGCTCTCTGGAACTGTAAGACAAATAACCTTTTCTGCATTGCTTTAAGGGTATTTTATGATAGAAACAGAAAAGAAGCTAAGACACTGTCATGATTTGAATGAGTATTTTAACACTTTCAGTTGGTGGTACTATTTGGGGAGCTTATGGAACCTTTAGGAAATAGGGGCATGCTGGAGAAAGTATGGTCAGGGGGTGGGGCTTGGAGCTTATAGCCTCGACCTACTTTCTGCTTGTGTGCTTTACTTCCTGTGTGGGGATAAAATGTACCAGCCACTTCCTGCTCCTGTTACCTGTGGCTAGCTGTCCTTGCCATTATCAACTATAGCCCTCTGGAACTATTATCCAAAAATTAAACTTTTTTCTCTAAAGTAGCTTTGGTCATGGTAATTTATCAAAGCAACAGAAAAATAACAAATGCAGCAAGTAAAAATTCCTTTCCTGGAAAGTTATCACTCTAAGAACCAGTAGATTGAAGAAATCCTTTGTACGTGATAATAAAAAGATTCTCCTTATATATGGAAGAACTTTTTTTTTAATTTTATTATTACTATTTAGCAATGGGAAAAATGCATTTTATTTACACCAGCAGCCATATGGGCAGGGGGAACAGAGTTAATTAGCTATTTGTATAGGATGGATTACTTATTAAAAAATAAGAAATCTCCAAAACAAAGGAAAGTGTTGAATTTCACACTACCCTCCCCCAATGATCCCAGCATGCGACAATGCCAGGCAGAGGCCCCTGGGCATGTGGTGGTGGGAACTAATTTATGGAAGAAAAACCACAAACCACAGAAAATTTAAAGAACCCCTTTTCCCCATACACACACACACTCAGATACATAATAGGATTACAGGGTGGTCAATACAATTAATTGAAGAAGGATAGAATTCTGTTGATACAGGAAAGGTAGGGGAAGGGAGAGTTCCTAACCACTGTCAACTATTGGTAGAGACCATTAGCTCCCCAAAAAGTAGTTTGTTCCCTCAGAGCTGGACTGAGCCCACATTATATCTACACAGAGTGGGAAGCTATGGCCCTAATGGAAATGATAAAGACAGAAAACAAAAAAAGTAACAAAAAAGGGAAGTAATATGAGCAAATCATTTCCCCAAACTACCACCCAAATCTCTGTGTTCTAACCAGAAAAGGACAAAAAGAAATACTCAAGTCACATTTGAGCTCCCTATCAGAAGGCAAGAGTGACTGGGCCATGGCCTTCCTCCCTTACATCCTGTTTCCCAAGTACTTTAAATAGGCAAGAGTCTTAGAATGCTTCTTCCAGAATTCACTGAAGGTTTTAAAGAACTCATATAGCAAGGAATCTTTTAAAAGTATTTTTAGCTCCTGCCAAGGTTTCATTCTTTTTAAGTTCTCAAAATTTTTGGACTGAGGATCCATCAAACTGTAACTAGGCCCCAACCCTGAGCTGTAAAACTCTGAGAAGGCAATAATAAATAGTCTCAAGGCCCAATCACTATGGTTTTCTTAACTCTTGAGTACAGTAATCCAAATCAGTCCATAAAGTTCAACAAGCTCTTGCGAAGTCGTACACACTAGGGTTAGAAAAGTGAAGCAGAACCAACTCTATCCTTGTGTATACCAGCATTCATGGTTCTCCAGTAAGTCCTAAGAGGCAGTATCCAAGAGCAATGGGAAGAACTGATGCAACTCATGACAAAACAGGGGAATATATTAGCAAGGCAGTCTTCTATAAGAGAAACAGACATGACCCTGCCTTGTAAATTAAAAGATTATTTTCCCTTTCCAATCCAAACAGAGGGAGCCATGGGAGGATTCTCTTCCAAGTCTTTCAAAAACAGGTAAAAGAAAACCAACAACATAAAAACTTAAAATCTTAAGAGAACAGCAACAACCAAACAAATGAAGAAAGGAAAATTCTGTAGGCTTCAGAGGCAAGAGCACTGGAAGATGAATTGAAACTGGTCAAAATAAAAGCTAGAGTGGCAAGCAGCATCTGGAATCATGAGCTGCACCAGATAGGCAGTGGAGCAGGGGACAGGAACATGGCCAAGCCAGACAGATGAGGCTGGACCCTTTACTGGGGCACAGAATGAGGTAAGAAAACATTTCAAATAAAGCAGCACCTTTCTATTCTGCTCATCTCAGGACTCCCACCCTCCATAAACCCCCACTTAGGGATAAAACAGAGGACAGTTTTGATATACCACTGACTTCCCATCCACTTCTAACCCAGCCTCCAAAGTCAGGAAATCTTGGCGGTCTTTCCCCCAACTTCCACCAAAAAGAAGACAACCCCAGATGTCAAGGACGACAAAGGGATATACTGCCACTTGTTGAGGGCAGAGAAGATGGTGACAGTCTTATTCACCATAGCAGAGGTCTGACTGCCCAATTTAAGGACAGGATTCTGAAACCATACCAGGCAGGCCTGTGCAGGGCTTTTAGCATTAAACTCATTCACATTACTGACGGTAGACAGAAAAAGCTCCCTCCTGGCTCAATTTTCAAACAGCCTCCTCCTTGGCCATGACACCCTTCTACAGTTCAGTGGTAACGCTCGAGGATAATGACCTGGCATAATAATCAAGTCAGACCCATGGGCTGGTTACATCACCCGTAACTCAAAAGTAGGAAAAGACTGTCCCACCAAACTTAGGTCCACAGTTTATAATTCAAGACATGAAACTTCAGGTGGAGATGGTTTGTGAAGGTATACTTCATCCTCACAGCATCAAAACAAAATCTTCAGCTGTTTGTAAACCACCTTGTCCTCTGCCAAACCTTTGCCACTAGGTGGGATGGAAAGAGGGGGCTTTGATGAGCCAAAGGCAAGGCCTTGTCCCCACATCAGTTGAAATCACTGAAAATGCTGGACCTTTGGAAAAACAGGTGATTCTGATCTTCTTGTAGACAAAGTCACAAGGGCTCCCTACCAAATTCAAATGGGAATTCATATTTTTAGTATCCGAGTCTCGTACCTGACTTTTATTTGTATCAAAGAGACCCAATTGTAGGCTCAGAAATCAGAGGAGCAGTCCACTGTAGCTGATTGTGGCCTCACCATCAACAGCATCCAAACTTTGCAGGAAGCCCTTGACATCACGCAGATGCAAAATCTGAGAAACAAAAGAATTTTATATGCTGGGTTCTCAGCTGCTCACGTGTGTACTGAGGGCAGTACAGGGATCCTGTATATCCAGATGTATTTACAGAGCTCAAAAAACAGCATGATGCCTGTGGGCTTTCTCTGTCCAGTATTTCAGAGTCAGCTGGCACTGGGTACCCTGTCAAATGGATCCGAATTCCTAAATTCTCCTCTTTTGGTGTTTTTGTTAATACTAAGATCTTTAAGGGGAAACAGGACTTTTGTTTGCGATTTTTTTTTCTTTTTCCTTTCTCTCTCTCTCTCTCTCTCTCTCTCTCTCTCTCTCTCTCTCCAACTTAGCTTACTCCTCCAAAGCCACGGGACCAGTCTATACTATTGTCCTGGTCACTGTCGCCCTCTCTCATGTTGTGACTACTGGAATTCTGGAGGTGAACGCTGCAGCTCCACTGTCTGGGGCCCGCTGTCAGATTCTCCAGGAAGGCAAAGCGGGAGGTGGCGCGCTCCTTTGTCTTCCACTGGCTGAATGCCAAAATCCTTCACGCTACCAGTGTCTGCAAACTCCAGGTGGAAGTAGCCACACTTGACTGCCCGGTGCACCTCAAAGCAGAATCCCAGGCAGGAATCCTCTATCAGGTCTACATAGATCTCCTGGGCGATGGCCTCTAGCTTGCTAATATCCAGGTCGGCCAATGAAATCTCCTCCATCTTAACCGGCAAGCGACTGGGCAGGGTGCGCTGGTGGTACTCGGCGGGCTTGGCGGGCCGCGCTAGGCCTGCAGGCCTCTCCGGGCCGCGTCCTCTGGGTCGGCAACGGCTGCCTCCGCGGCGACAGCAACGGCCGGGAGCCCCAACGCTCGGTCGGCTCTGACAGCACTCACGTTCGGGATTCTAGGCTGCACCCGGGACCGACTCACACCGCCAAACCGTCTCAGAGCCTCACCCTGCCGTTCTGGCTGCTTCCTCTCGCTGGCTCAAGAACTTTTGATAATAAAGCACATATCCAAAGAACAATTATTGAGCCCATCTCATTGTCTTTCTCAATCATCTTTAGTAATTTAACCCAGTACTCTGATTCTAGGACCTATTGTTTCTCAGACAAATCCTACAAGGCACTTCAAACAGAAGGAGATAAAATGTTTTATTAAACTGATATCAAAAACACTAAGATGTGGAGCCTGTAGAATGATAAATCTCACTAATTCAACTGAAGTATCACAAAAGCATTGGAATGACAGTAGCAGCAAATCTTTCAAATTCTTCTTTTTAGCCTGTTCCATGTTCATGGCCGGGATGTGAAAAATGAGGAAGAGGCCAATGTTTCCTTAGCCGTCTGGGTCAGGAGAGCCATCTGGTATTCGTTGTAAGCACCATGCGGGAACCCATAAACCCCGCACTAATGTTCCAATCTAGTCACTGATGGCAATAATCAGAACATCTGGTTAGAATTTCCCTTTGCTGGGGTGTCCCAAAAGATTTTTATTAGGCATCAATTTCCCTTTAGATCTATCTTGGCTATCAACATTTGTTCCCTTTACCTCACGCCCATCTGCCTCGAGCCAGGCATGCCATCTTGTCTCTGCTTACACCTGAGACAATCCATATTTTAAAACTCTTGAAAATGTAGGAAGCATACCACGAATTCCAGGAAGAGATGTCAGCTTCTACTGTTAATACTGTAATCTTCCTGACTATTCTCAACCTCACCTCTGACCTCTTTTTGTCCAGACTGTTACCAGAGAACTGGAAATTTCACCTTCCAGTGAGGTGACCCCTAGAGCAAAAAAGAACTAAATGTCGACCAGAGGGTGAAAGGCATTTTTAATGGTATAAACCCCGTAGGAAGGAGCCAAGAGGGTGATTGGGAAATGAGTAGTGAATTGTCATTTGTAAATGGCAATTAGTCATTGTCCGCTGTGAACTTAAGTTTCCCGAGGAAAAGTTACATTGGTGTTGTGCACGCTACAAAGCGGAATGACTGGTTAGAGCTTGGTGATTGTGGAAATCTAAATGTAGCAGATCTGGGTTATCTTGGACTGTCTGTAATCCCATTAGTGGTCAATCACCATCCACCCCTGTGTTTGATCTAACATCCTTTTGACTACTAAATAAAATCTTTAGAATGCATTAGCAGACTGCTAAATACAGTTAATCTACACGCCCAATTATTAGAGAGCATCTGAGAGCCACAGGGGTGTTTTCCCTGCATCTCTATATTCCATTCACCTCTGATTCCCAGCAATACATTTGGCAATTGCCACGATTTTTTACTTTCTTTCTTCTGTAACTAATGAAATCTCACATAACCATTTTCATGATGGAACATGCTGAATCTGTCTAGACCATGGCCACTCACAGTTGGCTGAGAATTATGATTTGGGTCGACATTGCTGAGGTTTTTAAATTGAAGTGGGTGTGAAAACTGTGCTCTATACAGGATGATGTGAGCCGTGGACTAAAAACTGTGTGTCTAGCCAACCAAGGGAGAAATAATAACAGCTAACTGTCTCTCATTGTAGTTAGTTTTAACTTTGAGTTCACTTAAAGCCTGATCAGTGTGGACTCAAAACATCTATGAGGGTTTGAGGGAGAAAGATATCTAACCAAATGTTCTACGAAGTCTTTACCCATCAGCATTTATTAACTTTGGGCTCAGGAAAGACAACAAACTGTATGTTTTGTCATCGCTACATTTATTTTCTGATCCTATAGTCAGTTTAGGGCCCCAAGCTGCTTTCTGGGTTCACTTGGAGCTAAGATAAGCAATGACAAGCAGGGTGAGCATTGCTTGCTAAAAGTTTAGTACAAGAGGTTTAAGCTTACCTTTTCTTTTCTAAAAGTTCTGGTGGTTCATTCATTGCTACACCCACTTGTCTCTACAGTGCAGTTCAGAGGATCAATAGAGAATGCAGCTGTAATTTCTCTGGCAGGCTGTTGTTGAAAGAGAACCAGTGTGAGGATGAGAGCTGGGCCTGGGCCTGGGCCTGGGACCTAGCCTAATTGGAGCTCTATGAAGAGCTGTTAAATCACTCCTTCCTTTCCCCATTCCTTAGCGCCTTCCCTACCCCAGTAATTCTCCCTTGCATTTTGAATTAGTCAGAAGTCTCCAGAGGAATGGAACCAATAGGACGAATATAAAAGAATTTATTAAGTCAGCACTCAAATAGTAACATCAGAACCACATGTGAATCCTGAGAACCAGGTAGTTACTCTGTCATTGAGGCTGGGTAACTTAGCATTTGGAGTAGACCCACAATGGCTGTTTCTCACTGGGAGTAGAGGGCAGACAGCTGGTAGTTGCTTGGTCCACAGGGCTGTGTGCTGCAACAGACCCAGCCTGGTAATTTTCTGCAAAGCCACCAGTCTACAATGAAAGCTTGCAAACCTCTTTCCTCTCTCTAGGAATGAGTCAGCAGTAGCAGCCACAGGACCAGTTATGTCAGGGGGCAAGAGGGAAGGCCAATCAGCAAAAGGTGAGGTAATCTTTCTTCTGCTTTTTATCTTGGACGCTACCAGAAAGCGATGCCCACAATCAGGGTGGAGCTTCCAATTGTAATCAAGACGTTTCTTCAGGTGAGGCTCCCTCCTCAGGTGATTCTAATTTGTGGCAAGTTGACATTGAAACCAACCATTATAGCTGCATAGTGTTATTCAGAATCTACTTGTATAGCCAACATTATATGTTTTCAGCCTTCTGGAGGCTGCTTCTCTCTGTTCTCTCACATCTAATCTTAGGCCCTTGTTGCTTAGAGCCCTGGATTGATTTGTCTCTCTATGCTGACCTCTTTGGATTAGACTTAGAGCGAACAGCATGTATATGAGTGAGTGGTGTGTGTGTGTGTGTGTGTGTGTGTGTGTGTACTCCAACTTCGGTCAATCCTAGTATAATAGAATGAAAACCAGGCCAGAATTCTGTGGAATAATGGATTCCAAATGAAAGCTTATTGCTAATACCTGAATTATTCGGGGATTTCTCTCTATATATATCAAGTCATATATCAAAATTTGTTTCCTGTTCTAGCTTTCCATAATTTTATAGGTATCTTTATATACTCAAAGTTTTCCAGTTATAAATATTCTTTAAAAAAGTGAAAGTTTCTCCTCAATGGGGAGTTCAATAGTCTCAGTGTGGCTGCACACAGAAGTTTTATGGGCAATTCTTACAGAATAAATTATCTGGGACCCATTTGGGCATTTACACTAAAACCCTGAAAACACGAGACACATACCTTTTTAAATCCCCAACATGTGACTCTAATACATAGCTAAGGCTATGAACCACTATGTTCGTCTATTTGAATCAGTATATTGACTTCATGTTTTAGTGCATTTTATAGGGTGAATTGACTACCATACTTCTTGGAACAATATGAGACACTAATAAATAAGTAAATAAGCAATTCAGGAGGCAAAATTTTCTATTATCACAGACAAATTTTGCCTTTAGAAAATGTCAACAGCAAGTTTTGGCTTTAATTTTTAGTTGACCCCTACCATATACAGTGTTTGAAAGGCAATAACTTAATTATCCTTTGAATACAGAAGAAATTCTTATCTTTGAAACATTGTTACATTTCCTTAAATAATCTAGTGACACAGATTCTTGTAAATTAAAGAGTCATCAGGAAGTTGGCACAATTGTCCAGCCCAACCTGAAACAACATGAGTTCTATCCCTACGACCTACATGGAGAAAGGAAAGAGCTCACTACTGCAAGTTGGCCTCTGACCTCCATACAAGTTCATGACCTATTCAACCAGACACATACAGACTTTCACAAACATACACAGTAATAATTAATAATAGTAATAATTATTATTTTTTTAAAACTCAGCAAGGTTCTGACTGTGTCTCTAATATAATAGACCTGGAGGAAAATCACCCAGATCTGCTTCACTGGTTGTGAATTGATGTTATTACTTTTCCACACTATTAATATTAACAGTGAAATTTCACACACGTTCATGTAAGTATAAAACAGTAAGAGCAGAGGACAAAGCCCACGAGAGAGATAAAATGGGTAACAGAAGTAATCGTGGTATATTACTGCTGCAAAAATCAATAAAGCAAATCTGTTATTCTTTTTAAGTGTCATATTACAATAATGTTTTCCTGAAGACTGTTGTCTGCATCCAATTTAGAAAGGCATCTGCTTGTGTTTGCTTAAAACAAAAGGGTGGTTGACTTAATGAATTATTTACAGGCATGCAATATGGCAACAGTGTCATTATGAACTCTCTTCTAAGATCTCCTCTGGCTACTCCTGGCAGGGTGTCAATTTGCTTGTTTTTATGGTAGGTGCATGAAATTGTGGAGCTATTCAAAGAAATGAGAATCCACCATTGGACTTCCTAATGTGCACGCGGACCCGGTAAGAGAGCCATGGCAACAAGAACGGCAAAAAACATTCATTTGGCATTAACAATGTGTAATGTGGAGTTCAAGCGGATGAGCCATGGGAATTACAGAAGTCTTGAAAATAGGCTAAAGATGTAAGGAAATCAAGACAGGCCTGGAGGAGAAGCTGAGAAGAGAATAAAAGCAAGGTCTGTGACCCTTTCCTCCTGCCTGGCACGTATGCCACCTGCCAGTGTCTGCTGGAGAAAAAAGTTCCAGAGCTTAGAGTTCTGCACCAAAGTAATGAAGTAGAAAAATTAAATTGACCTTGAAGTTTATAAGAAATAAGCAGAAAAGGCGTGAGAAGAAAA